CATCTTCTTGTTTGAAGGGTCTTTTATGTAGAATATCTGCTCGACCTGTTTCGCAAGTACAAATGGTTCATCGGCGTATCCCACCTTAGATAGATCTACTAAAGTGAAACCTTCCTTGTCGGCTTTGACACCAGTGCGTAGATTCACCCAACGGCAGCGGAACAAAGGAACCTTGAACTTGACGTAGTTTAGCTCCCAGATCTCCTCAATGCGGCCGTAGTATGTGTTTGACCCAACTTGATCCTGGAATGCATCTATACGGACACCGCTGTTTTGCACTATGCTTTTGTCATCTTGTTTGACGGTGTAAAATGTGTATCCATTTATATCGTATCCTTGCCATGTGTCTATGGTCCAAGACGGTCCCATCCCCAACAACTGTACTGTCTCATTTGGGCCATCCGTGGACATTGTCACACGATTCTTGAACCATTCGTTGAACCGAGAATTATGTTCTCTGTTAATCCATGCATCAGATCGCCCCAAGTTCTCATCTCGGATTTTCGCTAAGTGCTCCTCAAAGTATGGGCCAACTTCTGCCATATGTTGGAGCACAGCGTAATGAGCCTGCGCGTACGACGCTTGATCGGGCCTAATTCTTTTCCTTCCGATTGTGCCAACACCTGACAACCTTCCCTCGTGACGAGACACTGGAACTCCGATAGGATCGGCATCGGACATGTAATTGACACAGAACTCAATAGCCTCCTCGGTCGTGTAACCTTCAATGATGCTCCCCTCGGGTTTAGCTCTGTTACGAACGTACGACTTCAGAACTCCCATGTACCTTTCAAACGGCCACATTTCCCTTAGAAAAGCCGGGCCACATAGTTTTGTTTGCTTCACCAGATGAACAGGGAGATGAACCATTATATCAAAGAAAGACAGTGGGAAAAACATCTCCAGGTGACAGAGGGTATTCACAATATCGGTCTGCAGCCCATCTAGATCTTCTGGATCTATAACCTTCTGTCCAATTGCATTGAAGAAGGCGCACAGACGTTGGATCGTGTGACGCACTTTCGGTGGTAGAATGCATCTGATAGCAACTGGCAAGATTTGTGTGATTAGCACGTGGCAATCGTGAGGCTTCATTCCAACAAGTTTTAGATCGTCCAATTTAACATACTTACTTATCCTCGCTGAATAGCCCGATGGAACTTTAATATCCTTCAAGCATGATAACATTGCGATCTTCTCATCCTTCGACAGTGTGTGGCAGGCTGAAGGGAGGTACACTTTACCTGTCTCTGCATCTCATATGGGCTGGAGTTCGCTGCGAATATTCATGTCCTGTAGATCAAGGCGCGCGTTCAACCCGTCCTTTGTCTTCCCGGGAATATTCAACATCAGGCCAACCAAACTCTCACACATATTCTTTTCTACATGCATGAGATCAATGCAATGACGGACATCAAGATCATTCCAGTAAGGTAGCCGCCAAAATATGGATTTTTTTTCCACATACCCTTCTCCTTTGTCTTGTTACGTTTTCTTTTCTTCCCAAACTCATTGCTTATGTCCTTGACCATATTGTGGACCTCATCTCCGGACAAATCTTTGGGAGCAGGCTGAAGTTCTCTCTTACCATTAAAAATTTTCTTCTTTCTTCTAAATGTGTGACGTAGCGGGAGCCACCTCCGGTGACCCATGTATACCATCTTTCATGATTTCTTCAGCCACCGGCTTCGTGTATGTTCCTTGCAATCGGAGCATGCCTTCTTTCCTTTTATAGTTTGTTCGGAAAGATTACCGAGTGCAGGGTAGTCATTAATGGTGCAGAACAATAGAACTCTTAGCTTGAAGTTCTCCTGACCATATGCATCCCAAGTTTCCACACCTTCTTTCCAAAGAATCTCCAGATCGTCGATAACAGGCTCCAGGAATACATCGATATCATTGCCGGGTTGCCTTGGACCTTGGATTAACAAGCACAACATAATATATTTCCGTTTAAAGCATAACCATGGCGCGCGGGAGGTTATAATTCGCAATAAGAACTAGCCAAGTGCTGTGAGTACTACTCATGACACCGAAAGGATTCATGCCATCCGTACAAAGACATATCCTCATGTTTCTAGGGTCGGCAGCAAAGTCTTTGTGTTTTCGATCTATATTCCTCCATTCAATCGAATCCGCTGGGTGTCTAAGCATACCATCATTCCTTCTTTCCGTGGCATGCCAACGTACTAACTTCGCTTCGTTTGGGTTGGCAAAGATTCTCTTGAAACGATCAATGATAGGTAGATACCACACAATCTTTGCCGGACCACCCCTCTTTGACTTATTTCCTTCGTCAGCACTTTTCTTTCGCTTGTATCGAGAAGCCTTGCAGACAGGACAAGCATCCAAGTCCGCATATTGCTTGTGGTATAATATGTAGTCGTTGGGACAAGCGTGAATTCTACGGACCTCTAACCCAGTGGACACAGAACCTGCTTTGCTTCGTATGTCGTCTCAGGCAATGTGTTCTCAATAGGAAGCATAGCCTTCAAAATTCCTAAAAGATCTGTGAAACTCTTGTCTGTCCATCCACTACTTGCCTTCAGCTTCATTAGGTCCAAGGTAACTGACAACTTAGTGTGTTTTGCTTTGCATCCAGCGTACAAAGGCGTTTCGGAATCACTTACCAACCTGCTGAATTTCATTCCATCTCTCTCATTCTGGGCTGGGTCCTCAACGTCACGTAACATGTCTTGCAGCAGATCGTGATCCACATCAACCATTTCACCGCCCAATGGAGAAGGTATAAACATGTCATGCTCATTTTCATCTTCCTGATTATGCGCACCACTTCTGTCTGCTGCTGCTCCACTTCCTGATTCTTGCTTTCCATGCTTCACCCAACATGTATAGCCTTCCATGAATCCTCGTTGTATCAGATGACCGTGTACGTCCTCTCCGCTATCAAACATATTCTCGTTCTTGCAATCTGCACATGGACAACACATGTAATCACTGTTTCTTCATATTCGATCCTCCTCCGTGGCGTTCATAAAATTTATTACACCCTTTCGGTACTCCGTAGAATGACGTTTCAAATTTTTGGCATACATCCAACTTCGATCAATTGCTAAAAAAAACAAATTAGAGGCACATATTATAAGATCAGTATTGCAAAAGTAAGACGTGATGAAATTGCTCAATTAATGATTTATATTACTCACTTGATTGATCCATTTTGATCACTTTTGGGAATTTAATTTCTGTTTTCCTTGGAAAAAGGACAAAAAATCGCCCCCTACAGCCTCCCACCAAAATAGTGAACAGTGGGATATAGTTACACTAGGTGGTGGGGGGTATTTATACTGTGCAACAAATATCTGTAACGGCCCTAAAACAATCAACCGTGACGGGCATACAAGTAATCTCTATCGGGCCTTAATAAAAGGCCGTCAAAAAAGAGTGTCATCTGTGACGGGCAATAAACTTATCTCAATCGGGCCTCTAGTTGGAGCCCGTCACAGATGACCCTCATCTGTGACGGGCTTCTTTTAGGGCCCGATTGAGATATGGAACCCTCATCTCAATCGGGCCTCAACTATAGCCCGTCACAGATAAGTGTCATCCGTGACGGGCTTTAGTTTTATGCCGATATACCATAGCTGTGCGACCATATCTCAATCGGGCGAAACTTCGGCCCGATTGACATTACTTCCTTGTGACGGCCCGTAAATTCCAGTCTTGTTATGGGCCGTCACAGATGGAAGGATCTGTACTAGTGGTAGAATTTGAACTCGAGTGAGTAGTTTCATCACAAGAGATAATTCAGCTCACAACTTGCAACAATATTTTGTAACTTTTAGGATTAAAGGTATTAATTACTTGAAAGTTTGCAAATTGTCTGAAAACTTTACTCGAACCTAAAGGCAGCATTTTTTTTTTCATTTCACATGAGAATAAGGATTATTTATATCAGTGCCATTTTTTTTCAAAGGAGATTGTCATGTTTGTCATACATAAGTAAAAGCCTAATAGGATTTGTTTATATATATCTTGAAACTTTCGTGAACCAATTCATATATATACATCACCAAATATCTTAGCACCGTCAAACCATGCAAGTTACACGTAGGCACATATGGCTACTAACTACTACTAAGCAAAGCTAGCAATAAAGATAATGGATTGCACCAAGTATTCTATCACTCAAACCCCATTAATCATTGTTTGAATTCCATTGTCTTATTAATCATCTTAGGTTGTTTTTTTTACGGAGGGAGTAGTGTAGAATTGAGCATGTTTAATTAATTAATTTATTTTTTTAAGCTGAAAACAGCATGAGCTCTGCTGATTATATTAGGAGTAAAACAAAGGAAAGCATAGAGTTTGTCCTCCCCAGAGGGAGGTTTATTACAAGAGATTACATAGGTAGCTTATGGAGGTTTAAAAGTGAATTCTCTAAAATCCATGTCTTCAACAATTAGATTTGCTACTTGATATGGGTTTAACGTCGTACTATTGAAAATTCTTGCATTCTTTTGCAGCCAGATGTGCCACCAAGATGTGAGCAGCAAACTTAGGTTTCTCTTTTTCGTAGTCTTTTGTCTCCAACAGTCTGCAAATGCTGGACCCAGGTGGCTAGGTTATTTGGAGGGGGCTGCAAATCTGGTGCTCTCATCTCCACCACTCTTGTCCAGACCAATCTCGTGAAGAGGTAATCTCTGAAGAGGTGATCAGCATCTTCGAACGCCTGCCTGCACAAAGAACAAATGAGATCCAATCGCATGGCCAATGCCTGATAAGGAGATTTTCAGCTGTGAGGGTTTTCTGGTGGAGAATTAACCATCCAAGGAAAATCTGTTTAGGCTGAGCTGTTGATTTCCAAATGGCGTCAAATTCAGGCTTTGAGCAGGAACCCAGGAATTGTGCATTATAAGCACTTTTGGTGGTGAAGATACCGGCTTCAGTTCTGGTCCAGGTGATCACATCGGGGATGTTTTTATTGTCGAATAAAAGTTAAAGTTCTTTACATGAATTCTCACCTTGAAAAAGAGACATGCAAGCACACATTAGCATCAACTATGTTCTTTCCAATCCGTTATTCGACTTCCATCCATACTGCCACAAACGACTAACACTGTAACACACAATCTAATCAAAGAAACCACATTGCCGGCCATCCTCTCCGGCCCCGATCAGGCCCTCGCCGGCGGCGGATCACCCGGCGGGCTGTCCCCTCCACACTCCTTGGTGCACACGCATCGACGTCTGAAGGTTGTGCAGTGGCCGCCGGTGTAGCCCTCGTTGGTGCAGCTGGTGTTGCAGTTGGAGGTCCGGAAGCACATCCCTTTGAAGGTTTGGCTACGATCATGGCACATCTTGGCAGCAGCCACCTCACCACCTATACTCATCACAAATAACAAATATAAATCAATTGATGATGATGCTTAATCGGTGGAAGTAGCATTATACAACATATGAGGTTGCCGATGATTATGAGAATTTTATAGCTATACTTAATTATTAGCAGTATCATTGTCTGTTTAGTCACACCAATTTTAATCTGTAGTTGGCAGCCATGTTGGTTATGTATCGGCAATGATAAAGGTGTTGTATACTTCCGCCGTCCCAACAAAACTTAATCTAGATGGGGATGTGATATTTCCTAACTCAACGAATCTGGATAGATGTGTCCATATTCGTTGTACAGGAAAGGTCACATTCCCGTCTAGGTCGAGTATTTTTTTTTTTTGATGGAGAGAGTAGTAGATAGTGAACTCACCAAGGGTGAGGAGGAGCAAGACTAACACAGTGGTTGCAACCTTTGCCTCCATGAGCTGAATTGGATGTGTTGGATGAGGAGAAGGATGGATGGCTATTTGTACTGTAGAGGTATAGCATGTTTGATAAATGTGAGTGCACCCAAGTGATGTTGCATTAGTTATTAATGGCCACCCTGCATCCAAAATGGATATGCATACTTTAATTTTGGATACTTGCAGAAATGGCAAAATTTAATTCACACAACTCATGCAGCCCTGAAAACATAAATGTGGATATATTTTATTTGATATGGCATATCATGTTTTCGGAGATTTTTTACCCTTCGTTGTTTGTTATTTTTTCCTATAGTCTGGAAAAAGCCAACAAAAAGAGTAAATTACACTAGCAGTACTTAAACTTGTAACGAAGTTTCACTTAGGTCCACGAACTTGCAAAACGCGCATTGAGATCCCTAAACTTGGTTTAATGTATCATCTTGGTCCAAATCCTCATTTGATCGCGGTCTTGTCTACTGGCATGCTACGTGGACGATGACATGGATTTTTTTTATTTTTTTCTCCCTTCTTCTTTCTTTTCTCCCTTCTTATCCTTTTTTTTCTCCACTTTGCCTCCTTCCTCTCCCTTCTGCCGCATTTTTCTTCACCCGAGGTGAGGAAGAAGAGAAAAGATGGGGAGAAAAAAAGGGGAAAAGAAAATTTAGCCATGTCATCGTCCACGTAGCATGCCACATAGGCAAGACCACGATCAAACTAGGCTTTGGACCGGAATGATACACTAAACCAAGTTTAAGGATTTTGATGCGTGTTTTGCAAGTTCGTAGACCTAAGTGAAACTTCGTTACAAGTTTAAGGACCGCTAGTGTAATTTACTCCAACAAAAAAATAGTTGTAAAAGCTTATCAAAACTGCGAGCCGCATGTACAAATGGGGGCACAATTGATGAATAAAAATAGTGTCAAATGTGCAAGCAAGTAAAAGTATGGATTTCTTTTCGTTAAAGTTTTAACACCGTTAACATGTCCATCCAAAGTAAGGGTAAAACTTAGCTTCGTTTTAAAAAAAACAGGAGCAAAATTGAAAACCTAAAAAATAGGGATAAAATCAATATTGGAAATCAAATTAGGGGTAACAACAAAATTGCCCAAAAATAATATGCTTTAACTTGCCTTGATGCTCTACGAATTTGGATGTGATTTTTGTAGGAATGTTTTAAAATAAACGTGCTAGTTTCTTGGTTAAGGTTTTCCTATGTCCAAGAAATCTTTAACAATTGAGCATCATAATTAGCAACTTGTCACGGTACTTCGATCCGTTTCATGTATAGTCCACACGTCTACATAAGATTATTGTTGAACACACCTTTCTGTGTGTATGTAGTAATTCCTGAGATTAAATCCTCCAAAATACGAGCATCGTTGCAAGCTAAGAATTTGAACCACCGCAAGAAATAGCTCAGTCCACAAGTTGTGATGGTATACTTTGTGACTTGTAGGTTTAAATTAAAGGAACTTTAAAGCTTGCAGGTTTTGTCTAAAATTGATTGAAAACCTCACACGAACATAAAGGTATATTTTATTTTGTTGATTTAACATGAGAATAGGATATTTATATATCACTGTCATTTTGTCATGGAAAGTAAAAGGAGAAATATGGATTGTTCGTATATATCTTGAATTTTTCTGTGTTTCAATTCATATACATCAACAGGCACGTCTCATGCATATAAATTTTCTCATTGCATGAAAAATTCAGTTTAATTATTTTCTCTCTTTTTTGAATTTTTTCAGTTTAATTCTTTGCTTGTAGCTAGTCATCGTCGCCCTATAGTCAGGGTGACTCACAGCTAATTGCTAGTTTTTCAGGGTGTCCAATAGTTGTGTTTTTTTTCCACGGTAAAAACCACAAACTTTGGGTATCGTATTTGAAATTTTTCCTTTAGTTTTTGCATTGGATTATCATCAGTGAAAACATCCAGTTTAATTCATCTTAGCACCATCACACCATGCGTGTTACACATTTTTTAGAAAATGGGATAAACCCAGCCTCTACATCCAATCGGATGTACACAGCCAAATGTGTGTTACACGTGGACACATAGCTACTTGCAAGTAGAAACATGACAGTGGATTGCACCAGGTATTCAATCACTCAATCTTATTAACCATTATTTGAATTCCATTATCTTAATTATCTTCGACCGATCGAAAATTAAATTGAACATGAATCAGAATAGCCACCACACACCACACACAACACAGCCTCTCTTCAGTCCTCATTCGATCGTCGTCGTCACCCCCGGCGCCCGTGGCGGCGGACGCCGCCGCCCGCTCTTCGGCGCCGGCAGCGACGGCAGCGGCGGCGGCGCGTCGTCGCACTCCTTGGTGCACATGCACTTGCGGTCTATGACGCCGCCGCAGTAGCCGCCGGTCTAGTCCTCGGAGATGCAGCTGGAGATGCAGTTGCTGTTACTGAGGCACATCCCCTTGAAGGTTTGGCTGGGATCATGGCATATCTTGGCCTCACCACCTGATAATATATAAATTAATCAAAATTCAGAAGACAAGTACTCAACAAATGAAACATGATTAGGTTAGTAAATGTCTTTGTTTAATACTCCATCTCATATTATAAATCATTTAACTTTTTTCTTAGTTAAAGTTCTTTAGGTTTGATCAAATTATAGGAAAAACTAGTAACATCTATAATATCAAATTACTTTCATTAAAACTAACATTTAAATTTTGATAATTGTTTGTTTTGTATTGAAAATGTTATTATATTTTTCTACAAACTTAATTAAATTTTAAAAAAGTTTAACTAAGAAAAAAGTCAAATAACTTATAATATGAAACGGAGGAAGTAGTTGATCAGACTCACCAAAGGTCAGAAGGAGCAGGAACAGGGCTGTTGCTGCAACCTTGGCCTTCATGGCAGATAAGATGAACTGAATTGAACTGACTTTTGCTGGTTGATGGAGTAGAGAAGAGTGGAGATGGTTAATTTATACAGTGCAGAGTTGAGCATGTTTAATTAATTTGTATGTAGAATAAGGATTGTTTGCATTAATTGCCACCTTGAAAAATAATCAGATATGGATACCTTGTTTTTGGATGCTTCTCAATTCAACACATATTAATGCCCACATCTTGTTCCTAGGCATTATAAAAATAAATGTGCATATATTTTATTTGACATGTCATGTATATCTTCTTTTTTTGGAGGTTACAGTATACTAGTAGTATTTAGTACTAGCATTTGTAATATAATTTGTGTAGCCATTTCATATAATTTTGGTTAAAGTTTCTCCAATTCCTAGGGTACCAAGACTTAGGGCCCCTTTGAATCGCAGGATTGAGAAAATGTAGGAATAGGAAAAACGTAGGATTTCAACAGGAATGTAAGTGTAAAACAGATGATTGCAAAACACAGGAAAAACACAGGAATGACCGTTTGATTCAACCGCAGGAAAAACGCAGAAATTGGATGAGAGAGATAGATTCAAATAAAAGTTACCAAGAGGTTAAAGCTCTTGCTAAATTTCCTTCAAAATCTCTATAGGAATGTCTATTCCATAGTAATTTCAAAGAATTGGATAGGATTCAATCCTTTGTTTCAAAGGGCATCATAGGAAATTTTCTTATAGGATTAAAATCCTCTAAAATTCCTATATTTTTCCTCCAATTCAAAGGGCCCTTAATTGTGTCCCGGTTATAATGAGTAATGTTAATGGTCAACAATATAGCCATTGGAAGAGAAGGCCAAACCGTTCATCAGCACATTAACCATGTTGTTGGTAAAAAAAGGTAGCATATCCTCGCGGAAACAAAAGGTGATATATCGATTGAAACAAAAAACTATCACATTACGATTCTGGAAATTTTTACAAGCGTGATCCCATATATACATCTACCCAGTGCTTCTGAACTTTGCCGCGACACAGGTGCAATGTTACTAAAATTGTGCTCATGATAACCGTAATTGAGTAAAAAATGCATCAAAACTCACTAGTAAACTAGTAACACCCAATCTTTCAACCACGGTGATGGTGTTCTTTGCATTTCCCCTTTCATCTTTTTCATTCAACTGAAAAACTTAACTTACACCATGCTTCAACACTAATTATTCTTTCCAATCCATCCCTAATATCTTGATCAGCCGTACTGCCATCAAGTATACTCCCTCCATCCCATAATATAAGGGGTTTTGACTTTTTTTTTTACTGTTTGACAATTTATTTTATTCAAAAAAATTTGAAATTATTATTTATTCTATTTGTGACTTACTTTATTATCTAAAGTACTTTAAGTACAACTTTTCGTTTTTTATATTTGTACAAATTTTTTAAATAAGACGAGTGGTCAAATAATGCAAGCAAAAAGTCAAAATCCCTTATATTATGGGACGGAGGGAGTACATAGTTATATCTCCTTCTGCCGGCGTCTTCAGTGACCAATCGACCATCAGGATCTCACCGGTGATGATCCATCGTACCTAGATCTCACCCTGACGCAGTACTTCCAGAGATCGTCGTGGATGCAGACGCCTTTGAAGGTATGGCTGCGGTATTCATGTGTCTTGGCCTCACCAACAACACCTGCTCACATCAACAAGTCGGTATGAAGCTACCATTGTAACCAGTTCGGTGTCTGATTAGTGCTACTAACTAGTAAAGATTTCTGCTTTACATTTTGTCAGTGAGGAACTCACCAAAGGCCAGGAGGAGCAGGACCATGGCTGTGGCTCCAATTTTGGCCTCCATGGCAGAATCAACAGTGACCTGAAATGAACTGAATTTTGTTGGGTGAGGGTCCAGATGGCTCTTTATACAGTGTGTGCTTGATGGCATGTTTGTATATGTGTATGCTAGTCTGCATCAGTGTGTTGCACTAATTGGTAGTATCTCAGGGAAAGTACAAAATGCAGACATCCTGGTTCAGTCACTCTGAAAGAATAATAAATGCTCATACATTTTTATTTTGATATCAGAGAAAGCATATGTTTTTTTTTTGTTTTTCAGTCCTAGAATTGAATAAGTATTGCAATAGTTTCTGATTGACAAAGTTACCTGAAATGTGAGGCGCAATCATCCTGAGAAAAAAAAAACATATAATCCTCACTGATCAGTTTGAGCAATCTGATTCTCGGAGCTCAAACCACCAAAAGCATTTCTTCTGCCGAAGTTGCACACTGCTGATTTTCCAAGCTGCTTTATTTACATATCCATTACTTCTCAACACTTGATTTACCAAAACTCAGCTATCAACAATCACCAGTTTATTCCCATTTATGGTGGTGTTCATCATATACGCATATACGAAAAGTGATCGCTCTGTTTCTTTTAAATGATGGAAATATTTTACATCCCCTAGCACTGCCGTAAGGTGCACAATCAATAAGTTTTTAGTAGTATTTGCTCTATTGGAAGCGACTCTGCAATGGAAGATGGTCAGCATGCATCATCTGGGCATTTGGGCATTTCACGCACACGCAATCCCCAAGTCCCAAAGTAAAGATCTCGCAGAATCCGATCAGGTAGCCATTGGCAACACACTGATTAGCACAGGCTTGAGGACTTTCGCAGGTTGTGTCCGGGGCATTATCTGCATCTGTTCAAACAAACAAACAAACAAAAAATTACGTGATCAAGGCAGAGAAGCATATGGAGAAATTTATCCTAAATATTTATAATCATCAGCAAAGAGGAGCATATATCTGCAATTACCGCAAGACACGGTGAGGAGTGAATAAATTAAGATAGACGAAAATATGGAGGTAACCTTGCAAACCATGCCGAAACCTATATGCCGGTTGCTATAAGATTTAGAAAGAATCTTAGGGTAGGTTGGCATGCCAATTTATAGGACAAGTAAGGTGAAACATTTATCGGAAAATAAGGCGTGGAGGAGTTTATTGTTAAAGTTGGAAAGAAGTTATGGTTTGGCATCAACTAAGGGAGAACCAACCAGAAGGGGAAAAAAGAAGGGAAACTGTTTCGTTTCTCTTTTAGAAATGGAAACAAGGCATGGAATTGTTTAAAAATGGCATCGAAGAGAAAGGTTTATATATGCTGAACCAAATTTAGAGGCGCGCATTCATCTCATCGAATGCGCATTTTTGGCTACTATTTTTGGTTTGCATGAAGGAATTTGCTTGTGTAGAGTGCGTATATATAGGAGGCCAAAGAGCACCAACCACCAAGGACATTTCTATTTTCTGTGAACCAGAGAGGATATCAGCAAATGGATATCTTTTTACAGCAGATGGAGATAAATACAAGAGATCTCCCCCAGAGTCGGCTCTCCCCAGGGGCGGCTCGGGAGGCGACCCGGCCACCCCTCTTCCCCCCACCCCACCCCCCTTCTCCGCCTCGCTGTCGCCGGAGCGGCCGCCGGCGAGGCCGCGCGGCCGCAAGGACGGCGGCGGCAGGGCGCTCCTCGTCTCCTCGCGCTTGGACGGCCTGGGGAGCCGCCCGGGGATGGGCTGGTGGCGGGGTCGGCGGTGGGGTCGGCGGCGGCAGCGGCGGGGTCGATGACGGCGGCGGGGACGGGCGACGGTGGCGGCTGAGGTGAGTGCGCCGGGTGGTGATGTGGGTGGCGACGGCATTGGGACGGCGGTGGTGGAGGCCGCGGATCCGGCGGCGGCGCGGCGCCCGGCGGTGGCGTGAGCACGCAGGCACCCCGCGGCGGCCACTGGCGTCCTCCGGCGCCCCTCTAGGCGTCGGCCGGCGTTGGTGGTGAGGGGGACGGCCGGATCTGGCTCCCTTGCCCAGATCCGGCGCATCCTCGAGTGGGGATGGGGTGGTTTGGCATCCGGCTGTCGTGCAGGTGGTGTGCATATTGCAGGTACCCTCGGTGTGCAGGTGACATTTGGTGGCTCCCGTCGTGGATGCTATGGTTGATGGCTGCTTCAAGGCGAAAGTCTTGCTCCGCTCTCGGTGCTAGCAACGGCGACGCCCTTGGGCGCCGTTCACCTTCTTGAAGGCGTTGCTACTGGAGCCCTCGTTCAACTCCACTTCAAGAGTTTTCTCCGGGTAAAAACCTAGATTCGTTAGGATCGGACGATGTCGCCGTTCTGTCGGCGTGACCTTCTTGAAGGCTTCGTTCTAGGAGTTTATCTCTTATTGGATAGCTGTACTTAGGTTCAGTTTGTCAATGTCGAGGTTTTTGCCGGTTTTCCTTTAATTAACCGTGGTGTTGTAAGGTTTTTGGGTCCGGTTTTCCCTTATAAACTGGATCAACTCTCTCTTCTTCTATAGTGAATTGCAGGAGCTCCCTGCCTATCCCCTCGAAAAAAAAAGATAAATACAAGAGACTAATTAAGTTCATTCATTGAAGCAGAGAGGTTCAATGAAAAGCAGCTACAATTTACAAGAGTTTGTCTCGTTTCAATTCATCTTTGCATGCAATGTTTATTTCTACATATATTTGTTTCTCTCAAGCACAAAGAATCAATGATATATTCTCAGTGGCAAAACCAACCGAAAATGTCACAAACTCATCCCAGCATGCTTAGCAAAAATAAGTTTTACTCCTACTTAGCAACAACAACAGCAACAAAAAAATTACGACAAGTTAGTAGAGTAGCTCACTTCATCAGGGGTAAATATGCATTTGCTGATTTCATCTACCCATCAATGGATTCCTCGTGTGCCACGCAAGCCATCGTCGCCGCGCGAACTAGGAGAGAGAAGGATGCGGCGCCGCGCGGAGGGTAAGGGTTTGGAGGAGGCCTCGGCGGCCGGCGGGGCGCCGAATCCGGAGGAGGAGAGTAGGGTGGCGGCGGCGGATCTCGCCGGGGATGTCGTCGGCCGGCGAGGCGGCGCGGCGGCGATGAATCGAGGGGGAAGAAAGAGAGATCGGATAATCTTGATCCAACGGCTAGGGATCTTCCTCTGAGATCTAACGGGTGAAATTCTAGAGAACTTTTCACAGTGGCCCTCCTATTTTAGATCGTCAGCAATTTTACGAATAACACCTTGATCCTCAAACAATTTTCTGCTGGCATGCAAAGTGAGCGTAACTCGATTGGTTAGATTACTTATAATGAAACCAACCCATCCGGCTTCAAATCCTAAATTTAACATGGGTGCTCGCATTTACAGGTAATTATTTTTTTCAAATCCTGGATTTGGCATGGGTGCTCGTATTTATGGCTTATAATTCTTTCAGTGGTAGGTGACGTACCTATCGACAGCGAGGCATCTATGGTGACTTCGTTAATCTTTAGAAATGTCAGTCCAGTCTTTCGAAGGTGCTCATAGGAATAGGATATGTGCGTTCTTTTCAAATCCTAATTTGACATAGGTGCTCGTATTCACGGTTAATTATTCTTTTAGTGGTCGGTGATCTACCTATCGATAGCGAGGCGTCCGTGATGACTTCGTCAATCTCAAGAAACATTAGTCCAGTCTTCTGAAGGTGCTCATAGGGATAGAGTGTGCGTATATGCGTTCCTTTCAAATCTTAGATTTAACATGGGTGCTCGTATATACGGCTAATTAATCTTTTAGTGGTAGATGACGTACCTATCAGCAACGATAGGGGTGAAAACGGAGCGGATTCGGACGGATAATAGCTATACCATATTGTCGGTGATATGGGACCGGGAGTATCATGACCAGAGGCTTGAGGCAGACGCAATCGCCCACGTGGCCTGGCACCTTCGGGGACGTCGGGCCCGAGGGTGAGGTGTCCGCCCTCCTCGTGATTTCCCCCGAGGGGGGGTCGGGTTGCGCTTGCCCCGGCCCCGAGGGCCGGGGCACCCCGACCCCTTAAAGAAGTCTGCGCCACATATATGGGATAAGTGAGCACAGCTGTGCTCACCTAACAGCATTCATTGCAGTCTGGTCAAGCGTGTCACGTTGCGTGCATCGCAGTACAGCACGCTCTTTTATCCGGTCTGTGACCAGTCACAGACCGGTCAGATCAAGGGTTAGGTGGCGACTGGCGGTCTGACGCACGCCTTGCCCCATCCCGTCAAGATGAAAGCCTCTAGGCACTCGTCTCAAGCCGGAGCTAGCGTGTTATTTCTTAGAGATGGCACGTTAGCCCTGGTTAGATGAATACCAGGCTTCATCCTAACCATTACAGGCGAGGTGTTACACGAAGAAGGGGAAACATGCATGTTATTAAACTGACGCGTGGTGGACAAGAATGACCGGTCTGACACTGATCGCATCAGCAACGGGCAGCCACGATCTCACGTTGCGCCCGTCTCCGCCGGGAGTGGAGGTAGGTGTGGGCTGTCCCATCGAAGTGTCGTTCGGACAGCAGCCATACCAATCTCCGCCCATTAAAGAGAAAAAGAACAGTCCAGTTTGGAAAGGGAAGGGTGCATGTGGTATCCCCTTGAAGTATAAAAGGAGGACCTTGCCCATTGAGAGGGGGTTGATTCTTTCCCGGATTGAGTGCTGAGAACGGGGGAGAAGTCAGCTCACACTTTGTAACTCATTCATACACAGATCCACCAAAACACAGGAGTAGGGTATTACGCTTCTCAGCGGCCCGAACCTGTATAGATCGCCGGTGTCTCGTGTTTCTTGCTGGCAGACGATCTTTCCACATACAGAGAGAGAGCGAGAGCTTGAGATTGCACCCTAAGCCCCCGGCCGAACCGGCAAAGGGGGGCCTGCGCGGTCTCCCGGTGAGGAGCCACGAGCTCCGTCATCTGGCGCGCCAGGTAGGGGGCTCAGCGTGTGTTTTCTGAGCTCTCAGACTCTTCCGTGTGCGCCAAGTTTTTCTTGTTCAGCCTAATGGCCGAGCAAGGAAAAGCGCACGACCTCTCTCCAAGTGTGAGCGGCGACGACGGGGAGCCGAATCCACGCCGTCGAGCTCGTACTCCACCACCTCCTCCGCGCCAAAGCCCTAAGCAGGGGGAGGCGCTTGAGAGGGTCGACAAATCCGTGGCATCACCAGTCGCTGGTGATGCAGGAGAACGGCGAGATGGGGAGCGTCGCCTCCTCGTCTACGGCGACGGCAGCACGCCTCAGGGTGCGCTTCAGGCTGCTGGCGCGCTCCTACGACACCCGCCTGTCGTCCATGACCCGGAGTCTCCAGCCCAACGATGGCTGGAAGACGTGGCCAACTTGGTCATGACGGCACAGCAGCGCCTGGGTGCTGGTGGACGGTCCGCCACCACCAAGACCTCCGGCGCCGCTACCACCGGCTCCGTGTCATCAAGGCGGAGGGCGCGGCGAGCGGCGGCGGCTGCACGTCATTCGGCTGCCACTCCCTCGTCGACACCGTCGACTCGGGAGGATCAGCATGGGGAGCCGGATGCCCGCCTCAACGTCGAGCGCCGGCGTAATAGCCGGCGTACTCCCCGTGAAACGGAGGGCGCCTCCTCGTCCAGAGTGTCACCTCGACACGGACGTGAAGATCAGCCCTCCGTGCCCCCGGCAGGTGGTGTCGGCTGTAGAGCCTTTGTGGCGAGTCTTCGGAATGTCCGTTGGCCCCCAAGGTTCCGGCCCACCATCACCGAGAAGTACGATGGGAGCGTCAACCCCACCGAGTTTCTCCAGGTCTATACGACCGGGATCGAGGCCGCTGGGGGTGACGACAGGGTCATGGCGAACTTCTTTCCCATGGCCCTAAAAGGACAGGCGCGGGGTTGGCTAATGAACCTGCCACCCGCATCGGTCCACTCCTGGGAAGATTTGTGCCAACAGTTCACCATGAACTTCCAAGGCACATATCCGCGCCCAGGCGAAGAAGCGGACTTGCATGCAGTACAGCGAGGCGATGATGAGTCGCTTCGCTCGTACATTCAGCGGTTTTGCCAAGTCCGCAATACTATACCATGCATCCCTGCACACGCGGTGATCTACGCGTTCAGGGGGGGTGTGCGGCACAACCGCATGCTCGAAAAGATTGCCTCCAAAGAGCCCCAGACTACCGCGGAGCTTTTTCAGCTCGCGGACCGAGTGGCTCGTAAGGAGGAAGCGTGGACATGGAACTCTTCCGGTTCCGGAGTGGCAGCTTCGGCCGCCCCCGGATCCGCCGCTCAGACAGGGCGGCGTGACAGGAGGAGGAAGAAGAGGTCGGACCGTTCCGGCGACGAGGGTCATGTCCTCGCCGTCGAGGGCGCTCTGCGGGCCACCCGAAAGGGGAGGCCTGCGAGCGACAAAAAGAAAGAGGCTGGTACTCCCAGCAGGGAGCGCCCCGCCGGCAAGTGGTGCTCCGTCCACAACACCTCCCTCCACGATCTCGCGGACTGTCGTGCAGTCAAAAACCTGGCTGAGCGAACGAGGAAGTGGGAGGAGGACAGGAGGCAGGAACGCCGTGAGGGCAAGTCCCCGGCGGTTCCTTCCGGCAAACGGCGAAGTGAGGCCAAGCAGAAGGCCCCCGCTGTTGACATCGATGATGGTAATGATGACCTAGGTTTCCAAGAACCTGGGGCCACCATTGCCACCGTCGATGGAGGAGCATGTGCTCACATCTCTCGCCGGAGCTTCAAGGCTATGAAGCGAGAGCTTCTGGCCATGGCCCCTACCCATGAGGCGATGCGTCGGGCGCGGTGGTCGGAGGTTGCTCTCACTTTCGACCAGACCGACCACCCACCGTGCATTGCCCGGGGAGGGCAGGTTGCGATGGTGGTTTCCCCCACCATCTGCAACGTGAAGTTGGGACGTGTCCTCATAGATGGAGGAGCGGCTCTCAACATCCTTTCCCCCGCGGCCTTTGATGCTATCAAGGCCCCGGGGATGGTGCTCCAGCCGTCTCAACCGATCATCGGTGTGACGCCGGGGCACACGTGGCCATTAGGTCACATCGACCTACCGGTCACCTTCGGTGGACCCGCCAACTTCCGCACGGAGCGGGTGAGCTTCGATGTGGCGAACCTCAGTCTGCCCTACAACGCGGTCCTGGGGAGACCCGCGTTGGTGAAGTTCATGGCGGCGGTCCACTACGCCTACCTCCAGATGAAGATGCCGGGCCCCGGTGGCCCCATCTCTGTCCGTGGCGACCTTAAAGTCGCGCTTGCTTGCATGGAGCAGCGCGCGGACCGCCTCGCTGCTGCGTCCAAGCCCGAGGGTGG